TTACAGTGAAACACCGAAATCTGAAGAATGTCGACTTTCACCGGTGAATGTGAACATTCACATAGTCGCTTGGTGTATGTCCGAAATATTTGCTAAATACCCTTATTTCTGACTTACACCGGTAAATGTTGACATTCACCATGCACTAATGGTGAATGTTGAACATGTTGGAGATTTATATTTTCTTCTCCGTAATTCAGTCGCTATAAAACGCCACAAGGGTGACATAACTTTTTCGCCTCTCTTTCTGAAAGGAATGACCAAGAATTTAAAATACACGGTACATTCTACATGAGAAAAGAAAATAATAGTAATAAAAAAATTACTTACTTATGCGATTCAAATCTTATTTATTGCAACAACTTAAACTATTATGACACTTTGAATTGTACAAGAGTCCCTTGCTTTTACAACTGCATTTATTTGTGGAACACTTCCTTTTGCAACGAGAGGTTTTGGACCTCCACCAGAGCATATCTGTGATTGAATGTACAACAATGCAATGAAATATTCGATCTTTCACCGACGTATTTGGTATCTGTTGACATTCACCGGTGAAAGTCGACATTCTTCAATTTCGGTCATTCACGGCAACATATATATAATAAGTTGAACGAAGTATGGACGTAATCATCGGTATTTAATTGTTAAAAATCGTTTTTAATCTTCGTATTGTTTGAGATTACAGATACTCATTTTTATCATAAATGCATAAAATCCGCTGCGCCTTGATATGTATCGATAAATCGTGTTTCGCAAGGGCTTCATATTGCAGAAAATGCCAAAACTTTAAAATCGTGATAAGAATTTTCACGATGCGAAAATCAAAATTCTATTTTATCCGTCTTCTGCAGTTGGATACGCGCTTCTCACACATTAATGTTTACGAAAGTGGATCAACATTTAAATGGGGAAATTAACAAAAAAGTTATCATTTTTTTAATATATCTCTGAAATAAATTTAGATATTTAAAATTGGATTCGACAGCTGCGTTTCTTGTTTAAAAAACGCACAGCTTTGCAATTTGTGCCATCCTTCTGACTCTAATGGTTTCCGAGATATTCGATCAAATATGGTTTCAACCCTCAACTTTGAGGGCTGTTCTCATTTCTTAACATTTGGACAACGGGGTCCGGGTACATTTCGATCCAGAGCATAAATATTGATATTGGACTATTCAGTTTCTGACAATTAACTTATATTTTTGCATGTTTCATTAAAGTCTCGAGGAAAAAGTAACGCGTCTAAAAGAGCACCTTAATTCAATCATCCATGGTTTTCGTCAACGTTGGACACATAGCTACCCTCTTGGATCTGAATTAGCTCTGGGTTAAATCTTTCAGACGATAAAATTCACAAGGTCTGATTTAACACTAAATCTACCGACACTTCACGTATACTTATTCCTACCGTGACCGGTCAGATGACCGATCTTTAGCACAACTTATATTTTTTAATATAAAATGGAGATAATAGCCAATTTGATAGTGTAAAAATGTAGTTTCTTTTATTCAGAAGTATACATATAATGTACGTCTTATTCGAGGTTTCGAATATGGAGGCTAAAATCATGCCACAACTGCATTACCTTTCAATAGTTTCTTCATAGTTTCAGAATTGAGTCTTTTGTGTCTCAGAATTTATATCTATACTAATAGATATAAATCGTTCAGCCGGTTAAATGACCAGTCGTGGTAGATATGACAAACTACAAATTTTTCTCAGAGAACAAACAATAAGAAAAGAAATGAATATTGAACAATTTTAGGAAAAGTCGTATAGTTTAGGAAAAGTGAAGTTTAATGGCGATGCAATTACGTTGTACATAGGAAATTCTAATCGAAATTTTAAAAACGGTCATTTGGCCGGTCTTGGTAAGAATAGTGTTAGGAACCTAAGCACCGCTATTTGTGTACATTTGTTAAATTTTTCGCAAAGTATAAAGTCGTTTAGTTCAACGCGTATAATAGATTTCATCGAAAACCAAAGAATCAGGGCGATATTATATAAATTATATATTATAATAAATTTATTATATAATTTATATTATATTATTATATTATTATATAATTTATATTATATTATTATATTATTATATAATTTATATTATATATAAATTAAATATTATATTATATAAATAATAACCGCAAACATTTACGTTCGTACCGGAGTTTCAGCTGAAAGATCAGGTCAATCGACGCGAGGATAATAAAAAAAAGGTCGGTCGATTGGCGTGATGAGCCTCTGTGGAATTAGCGGTCAACACGAAGCACAGTACAATCCGCAAAGCCGACAGCTTCGAAGAAAGCCCGTTTGTCGTCCAGCGATCGCAAACAATTCGGTCCCGGCCGGCCTGGTAAAGAGCAGCCGTTTCCGTTGGCAGAGAGCACCCTGGCCGCGTCTTGCCTGCTACCTTGTAGCTACCGGCTTCACCGGTTCGCCGCTTGGCAAGCATCGCTCTTCCAGGTCCGATGCAAGAAAAAGAGGCGCCAGGTCTATTGATGCGGACAAACGATCGAGACCGGAGCCAACCGAGGGAAGAATACCGAGAGGAAAAACCAACGTGCCGAGCTTTGCCAATTGCCCGGCTGCTGATTCCGGGCAGACGGTGTCGGCAAAAAAAAAATTAGTCCCAGACTAACACGGCCAGCTATCAATCTACATTGATACCGCGAATTTCGCACCGAGGTGAACGGAGTCACGGTGCCTGTTCTACGAAATTACGTTCGGACGTCGAACGCGATTTCAATTAGGATCCTCGGCCGAGATAAGCTCGCAGATCCACTCGGATCCACTAGATATCTTGTAACGCGCGAAGTCGGAATTGAAATTGGGTTACCGGCGGCCTACGAGCCGATCGGATCTCCTCTCTCCTCAAATATTTTGGACAGCGATACGGGGGACAGGGATCCTCGCCGAACGGCAGCTCCAAGATGGACGTCTCGCAAAGAGACAGACAAAATGGATCAATTACCATCTCGCGACTCCGATTCGTCGTCAACAGGCACGGAAATGAAATTCGGCTGCTTTGAAATTCCAAACGTTCCCCTTTGGAAAGGGAGGATCCGGTCGATCAAAGCGACGCTGCCCGTCCCCGGATTTCCCTCCCTTTCCTCTGTTTTATCTATCCTGTACCCCGCCTCTTTGCCTTGCCCAGCAGCTATCGTTATCGAGAAAATCGCGTTTCTCTGGTCCGCCGAACTACTCTTCCCCGAATCGTCTCGATTCGAGTCGAGTCGAGTCGAGTCGAGTCAACGCTCCTCTCGTTCTACGCTTCCGGCGAAAGGAGTTGCATCCCCTACGGCAACGGGGAGTTGTTTCGCGAATCGAGAACATCACGGTTCGTTAACTTCGACGAGCAGATTCGTGCGGAGACAGCAGACCATTGGATGAGAAAATAGAAGGACAGGACCGTGCGTGTCTTCTGGGAAAAGAAGCTTCACGGTTTCAAGCATGATTACCGATCGAACTGTGCCACATGTGTTTTATTTTTATGTAGTATTGTTACACAGAATTATAACTTTCGTGGCTTTTACGACAATCTGGAACTTTGGCCAGAGAAGTGGCGAGGTAAATTTTCGTTGAAAAGAAGGTTTCGTGATTATTACAGAAGTTCGGCAATCCGAAAATTCCGATATCTTCGAAACTATGCAAATTCGTTCGGGTGCATTAAAGAAGTTCCGTAGTATTTTTATCATCGGGTGAAAACTTTTTATCATCCTTCAGGGTGAGAACACCCCGTATGTAGATAGGCGTTCCCCTATTTATCTATTTATCTTCAAAATTATCTTAAAAATTGCAGTAGATATAAAAAACAAATGGCTAGAATAGAAATTTAAGAATTTTTTATGCTTTTTAAGGAGATATTATTAAAACGATGAAAATTGATTATTTAACTAAAAATATTCGCCACTACGGTCATGTCTATGTTAAACTTATCAGACAATGTAGTTTCTAAATAACTTTAGCCAAATCTTGACAAAAACCTAAGTTTCGAATTTAAATTTAAAGTCTTTAGCGTATAAGGCACTAAAATTTCAGTATATTGAGACATTCATCATTATATTTCGCGATGATTAGTAAATTTCTTATTATTTCTATTCGAGACTCTAGTCGGTAACTATATTACAATCTTTTACACGATTGTTAACAACAATAACCCATGCATCATTACTATGCACCAGAGTTGAGTATATCCAAATGAATTGTTTTTAGTCGAATATTTTATTGAAATATTTTATTATTCGTCACAAGTAATTCAATCTATTTATTCGAATAATTTGACAAATTCGAAAAAGTAATATGGAAGAAATAAATCGATGAACTATAAAAAAAAACACTTTGTATTCTATCATTTTGATTGAAATCTACTATTTTTCGTATGAATTCCTGTACGGATAAATTCTTATTCGGATAAAATTGTGTACGAATGAATTCTTATTCGAATAAAAATTATTCAAATTTGTATCGAGATCAAGTTTCATTCGACCGAATATTTATTCGACAGTGTCGAACAAAATTTTATTCGTCAGTCGTGATCTTTTATCCGTCATCCGTATAGAAGTTTGCCCAACTTTGCAATAAGCACAGTCGTTAATTACCAAACTGCAGATTTTTATGCGAAACAAAATTGTCTGCATCAATTGTAAATTGTAAATATAAGCAGTAGTCAATTGGAAGTTTCCCTCTGTCTTTAACAATCTTAATAAATCGAGAACAACGTGTTAACGTTCTTATAATCCTTCAATCTTCTCACCTTCTACTAATTTTTTTCATAAATCCATAAAATCCGTTGCATTGGTTGTTACTCTACGCGCTCCTTACAATTAGCATCCTATAAATCTATCGAAATCATAAATACGCAAGGACTCGCAGTTTGCTTATAATTCGCTTGTTTTTCGCGTATCCCTGTTCCCTTAGCGTAGGTCGTTAATGGATTCGTCCCGAGCCAATGATAATAAATATCAACTAGAGACCGAGGGTAGATGTAATTACTTACTTGTTCCACCCAAACGTTCGTCGTCATGATCTGGTTCTTCAGGTTCTGGAAAAGAAAGCAAAAAGAACGGAATGAGCATCGTATTTCCAGAGTGCACTCCGCAGTCTCGAGTGTTTCTAGTTACCGGTGGGACGGATTTATTGGGTTTTTGAAGAGATGCCGAGCCGACGGTAGGTGAAGCGGAAGAGAAAGGAACCTCTTCCCGCGATCGAAAAACCCAACAAATCATCTTAACGGCGTTACGCGGCTGTCTGACCCATCGTTCTGTCATCGGTCTGTCGTTGTTCTTGTCATCGTTCTGTCATCGTTAGCTTGTAAACGCCGAAATAAAAAACCATTCGGGAACACGGGGACGCCCTGTCTCTGCAAAACTGTGTCGCGCGAAAATACGCGGCGAGAAATCGGATCCGGATCACCTGTCGCGGCGGGGAGCGTAAATCTTCCCCGTTGCCACCTACCGTTGCGGTATCCGTTACCACCGGCGCGAATATCGCGGCGCGATCGATTCGATAGAACGGTGCGAAGTATTAATATAACCGGTGGCGCAACCGAGTTCGCTGAACTCATGCCGTGTAGATCAACAATGCCTAGGTGATCAGCATCTTGTGTTCAACAGACTCGACCGAATGAACGTGCCCCGATCGCACAATGGAAATCAAAGCCAGGGAACATCGTGCCGCGATCGTATCGCCTAAGACATCTGTAATCGTGCTCTACATGCGTACATACATATGCAGGTCGTATATACGAAATCACCGATATTAATGTCGATTCCTGTTCACGCGTTTCGAACTTAATCCCCTTCACAGTGCGCTGGAAACATTCATTTTCTCTCCCGAAAACCCTTTAAAACCTCGAAATTCAAAAGATTGGAAATTCGATTAAATGGTTTTATTTGTTCCTTACGCAATGCTGATATGCGAAATGATATATTTTCATGAGCGTATATTTTCCGGCTAATTTAACCCGAGAAAGATAACCTACGTCGCAGAGGCGCCTGCGAAATAAACAACTGACTGCACCGTTTTCATAGAGGTCTAGTGATTTAAGTTTAAAATTACTTAAAATATAAAAAAATATTATATAAATGCATTTTATTTTTACAATAATGCCAAACCTTTAAAATGACTAGATTAACTTAAATAAATATCCATTGTTAGTATAAAATTGACGCCTTAGAAAAGCATGCGCCTCTGAAGCGTATGGTTATCTTTTACGTACGTTGTCATATGGTTATCTTTCTAGGGTTAATGGTGATATAAATATATTTCATCATGTCAAAAGTTTTCACTTGTTGATTATTTATTTTGACAAATTTATGACATATTTAAAACATATATGTATAAATCAAGCATAATCTTTTAGTTGCATCGTTGTTAAATATACAGGGCGTCCTGAAATTATATTATTTCCAGGAAATGAGAGATTCCCGAGGTTACTTGAGGTAACTTTTTCCATAGCGAAAATGCAATCCGCAGCGTCGTTTACGAGTTATTAACGAAAAACAGCGACCAATGAAAGGCGAGATCAGCTGACGGCAAGACTGCCGAGCCAATTAGTAGAACTGGACTTCGTCCGCTGGTCGGCTCGGGCGCTTCACGCTAACCGCGCTCGCCTCTCATTGGTCACTGTTTTTCGTTAATAACTCGTAAACCAAGCCACGGATTGCATTCTCGCTAAGAAGAAAGTTACTTCAAATAACCTCAGGAACCTCTCATTTTCCGGAAATGCCATAATTTTGGAACACCCTTATAATCATTATTACGGATAATAGCAATGACGAAAATCGTAGTGATAATGTCTGGTGAACCACACTGTGTACAGTGTTATAGTTGCATTTGAATAGGACCTGATAATTTCGTTTGTAAACATTTTTGGAGATCAGCTTTCGGCTTTCATTCTGATTGCGGGGTGCTCCAGTTTTTAATGAATGCGATCTGGTTTCTACGCGGGGCAAAGGAATCCCCGGAGATCGTATAGACGTTCGATTTCTCTCTCGCGAAAAAGAAGAGCGTCGTCAGGAATGCGCGGAACAAATCCCTTGATCCTGCAATTAGATTCCAGTTTTCGACAAAGGTTTCCCTTGCTTGGCCCGCGAGGATTTACAGAGACGTCGCGCCGGTGCCTAAGATCCGGCGACGCGATCTGGGGGTTGTTCTCCCAGCCCTCCGGCTTTCCTCGGTTTTCCCCGGGAAAACTGCAGCGCGGGACAGGAAATAAGAGGATAGACCGAGATAAGCCGTCGCGGGACAAAACCTACGACTGTTTTCGCAGAGAGGCGAGAGTTATGGTTCCGACGAGGATACCGTCACCTGGATTAGAACCGACTATTCTGCTAGCGCCGCAATTACACTCCCGGATCTTAACCTTCCTCTTCATTTCTTTTAGCGCGTTTCGCGAGCACAGAAAACATGAAGACGTTACAACTAACATTTAACGCGGACCTGTGCGGTTATGTGCTCGAGCATACGTGCACGCAGACCTCTCTGTCTCGTACCGAGATACGTATTCTGACTGAACCGCAGGTGTATCCCATCTTTTTCTTTCAGAAAATTGAGTCTTCGAATTGTACGATCGCTGCTACCGATTTTATTGAAAAATAAACTTTGACATCTCTCGTGCGTCAACCTAATCGTCGCATTTAACATAATATTATAGATCAAAATATTGTGGCAGCTAATATCGGGAAACGTTACCATATGTAAAACAAGTCTGAATGCTTCATTTAACAACAGTTGAGAAGAAGTTACGAATTTAATTATTGCTATCAGATAGCAAACGAAAGGAATTTACTTAACAGACTACGTGTACAAGTTTACGTAAAAATATATTAACGGCTGCTAAGAAAAATTGCAAAAATAATTGAAAGTTTTAATATTTCGTTTATAGAAATAACTTTTTCTGCAAATTTTCTCTGTTACTTTAATTCCCTATCTAACGATACAACTTGATAAAGTTTAGCTGTTCTACAGATCTTAATTAGTTTCGTAGATATTTCAGAAAATGTGTTTTCAACCCACCCAGTAACTGTTTTTTCATCATTAATGCGGCCGGAGATCTAACAAAAATGTGCGTAGATTATTTTCCTAGGTACTGTCATTCGCTAAGTTTCATTAAAATTGATTTGTGTAATTTGAATTTTTCTCATATAAGACACACGCGTGTCTGACCATGTGCGTCTTACTCTACTGCGATTCTACTGCGAATTATGTGTGTTAACAAGAAAAACGATTTATTTCTGGAATAACGTGGTAACTATGTAATGAAATTTCGATATTTCATCGATCATTTTTATTTAGCCTATGTTATTAATATACCGCGTATCTTTATGCAAATATAGCTGTTCTCATAATTATATGAACACGAGAATTATCAAGTAACTCTCAATAAATTAAAGAGAAAATCATGATCTAATATTTATTATTTTATTACTTTAATATTTATTATTTTCTTATAAAGATTTTTTATCGAAACATGCAAATTATAATTATAAATGCAATTTATAGTTTCTCAATATTTTCTATTTATTCTAAATCAAGCGATATCATATAGATTAACTCATTTACTACCACCGTTACATACTTGTGACGTCAACGATCCCGTATTTTACATAAAAATAGAGAAATTAATTTTATTACATATTGCTATTTAAAGTCGTTATATGTATATAGCGTAATATATGTATAAGGAGTACGCAACATTGCCTTGCTAAATTGTTTTAATATTTTCTAGTGAAGCTATGTTACATATCCGATAAATAATTTTAGTAACGAAGGTAGGACAGGCTTTTTGTGTCAAATCACTACACCCTTAAAATCATGTTCGCCAGAAATAAACTTCTTCTCGAGATGTTCTCACTGTTTTCGCTACAATTTTGAACAGAGTTAATATTATTGTTTACAAACATTCGACTAGATTCTTGAAATCCTAAGTATAATAATAATAAATAGTTTCCTCGTCAAAGTTCTCAACAATTACCTTACAATTCAAAGCGCCAAACTACGAAATCTTTTCACTGTGCTAGTCAAAATGAATGGTTTAACATTTGGCAATCTCTATGTATAGTAACTGTAGATCGCTTGAGTTGTACACCAGTTGTAAATATTCCACCAATAGTCGATTTTAAATAGTACGAAGTTAAATATAAATTATTACATTACATTATATGATAATTATTTTATTCCATTGTAACGAATCTTGAATTTAATGTTAACACTTTTTACCTATACTAATAGTTCTAAAATTGATGATCAACAAATAAGAATTTCTTAAAAGGCTTTCAAAAACCACAATAATCACATCCATCAAATTATAATTAAATTAATATAACATAATTTTTATAATGTGTGTGTAATTAATATAACACAATTAATATAATATATACATATATAATTAATATAATATAATTAATATTTATTGTAATATAATATATAAGCGTAATATTTAGCTACTATTTTAGCTACTGTTACGACGACTATATATGCCACGCGTAAAAGTTTGCCGTTTAAATCGCAATTTCGGTGAAAACTAAAACTGATTCATAAATTCGAAGACGTTTTGAATATTTGGGAGCCTAGAAGAATTGAAAAAAAAACTAATAATCAATTACTATAAAGAAAACTGTATATATTGTGTATACAGAAAACTGTACATAGCAACTATTTGATACATAAAACTGTATATAAGTAGTATACTAGTCGTCGTTTCTCTAAAATACAGTTCGGTTATTGAAAAGCCTATGAATAGGCTTCCGGTAAATAAAGTGTTAAGCAACGGGTAGCTCGAAGACGGGAAAGTTACACGAAAGAAGCGTAGCGTGCGAACACGTTTTCCTTCGCCGTTCATTGGGTGACGATCTTAAATGGACGAGCAGCTCGTGGGAAACGGGAGCCGGCTGTTTACGTGTAAGCAGTCTAATGTTATGGAAATTGGATGTCGAAAGAAAACAGAGGGGTCTGGCCGCGTCGAGCTATCTCCCGAGACGAAGGAATGGAAGAATACGAAAGAACCGTGTTACGTACACGTGCTACAAGCGCGCA